GGATCAGTGTAGTATTTCAAGGGATCGTAGCGGTCTGGCCGCAAGTTCATTCGGATCCAATTGAGGCAGTGAAGTTGATGGAAGACGTCCAGTGTGATGAGGGACATGGATGGATTTCTTGGATGGGGCGATGTGGCATTTGGAAGCAGCTTTGCGTCGTGGGTTGGTATTTCCAGATGCAGGAGGCCTCATAGATATTAGCTTATTTTGTGTAAATTGTATTTAACTCAATCCCTACCGTCATAAAGTGCCATCCACGCAGCATCTGACTCGTCATTTGTAGAGGCGTACAGAGTACTTTGCGTTTCTTGTTAGAGGCCACCTGAAAAGGGGTGGGTGACTCACCGCCCATGAAAGTCATCATTGAAGACGCGAGTCTCGAATTGAATCACCTCATCTGCAGGAGCTATATAGAACTTAGATTTAACATCAAGAGAAACATCATGCAGCCCAAGGATATCTTACAATAAACTTCAAGGGGCCAAGGCGGAAGACGTGAACCCGGAGAGTTTTCATGAGACGAATAAACAATGGTGACGCAAAGGTATACGTTCACGGCACAAGAAAGAGCCATCAAGAACTTCAAGAGTGTGGTAGAAGACACCTGGCAAATTGAAGTGCTGATCGCTTTCGACTGCGGAGTCAAAACTTGTTCAGAAAGAAGAAAGTCATGGGAATCATCACAGTCGCGACCTGCGTCGGTGCTGTTGTAAAGACCCATTGGCGGCAGAGACTCTGGTGTCCTTAACGGCAAGGTCGTACAAGAATGAAAGGCGGTGACAATTTTGAGTAGGAGCTCAATATTGGAACTGCTTGCGCAGCTCCAAAGAGGGAAGCCAACTTAACGGGTTGCTGGAGGTTTATTTGAAAAGGGAGGAGATTCCTGAGGCAGAGATCCATCCACTTTGGGATAAGTGGAGAAAGCTACAGTGAGAACACCACAAGAAATGCTTTACTGAGCAAGTCGAGATGAGAAAAAGCTCCTGTTATCTGTCTGTCAATCCCCCAATACCCAATTTCATTCTGGGCCTATTGTTTCACCAATCGGCCGTTACTCAACTGTCTGGCTTTCCGTGTCCATATGGATGAGATTTGAGCGCAGATTCGAAGTCAATCATGCTCGACCCGTACGTCTACTACTATTCAAAGCGCACTGGAGCACTATTATCAACTACTCGCATAACTATCAACGTGCTATTGGTCAGGCTTTGCATAATCTACTTGACTTCCTAGCTGGCCAGTTTTCTCGTGGCGACCAGCCTCTCAACTCCCCGAATGCATGCCGAGGGGAATAGCTCATTCAACTACACACCATCCGGTTCATAGTTCTTGGGACTGTAGCACATCTTTTGGGTCACACCACCTATATAGATTTCTCTCAGTCAATTCAATTGGTTCAAGAGCCAAGGCACTAGGCACGTGGCAAGTGCCAGAGTTGTAGGCTCCAAGTTCTGAATAGGGAAGTAATCCGCATAAGGTAGTCTTCCGCTCCAGTTTGGGAAAGGAATTACTTGTAGTTACCAAAGACTTCTATCATTCCACTCGAGAGATCGTGTATTCCGTCGCATTCGCTTCGTTCTAACAGCGGTTCATGCAAGCGGGACATGCCACACGGGAATTGCCCGCAACCCGAGCAACGCCTACAGTTTAGAACCGAGGCACGACCCTATCGGAGAGCCCCCATTAGCGACCGCGAGCATCCCCGCTTTGGCTGGCACTGATCCCCGACTGCTCAGCGGTCAACCGACAGAAGTACCTGGTAAGAGTTTTGAGGTACTACATATTTGTCGGCATCGACAGCTATTCCCCAGCGCCTCTTGGGCTGTGATGATAACTTCCGACTCGGGCTATATCCTTACGCTTGGTGGAATTGCTTCTGGATAGTGTAGCAAGTTTGTGTACTTTAGAATCTCCATCTAAAGCCTGGAGCCTAGAAGGGAACTGATTATCTGAACACAAACCAAAGACTACTTCATCCAATAGCATTAGGAACACAGTATCGTACCGACGACCAACCAAACGGGTAGCTTACTACACAATTAGTGCCGCTAGCTTCCCTTCTGAAATAGATGTCTTCGACGTGCACAAAAGATGTTAACTCCCAGCAGACAGCAGGGTGAGGGGTTGCAAGGGTTTGCTATCCATGTAGCTCGCGAGGTACATACAGTATCTACTGTATTTGGTAGTCTAGCGTCAATGCGGGGTGCTTCTCAGCCGCGGATACTTTAGTGACTCCACTTCAATCGCTAGTACCACGTACTATTAAACTCAAAATTGTTCGTTATGAAGACCGCTGCATCTACTGCGTTCTATTTTTCCACATTGCATATCTGATATGCAGCAACAGTCCTCTTCCGTGGTAAGAAAATGCAGTAGACGTATCTTCCCTCGATACAAAAGTATGACTGTCGGATTATTTTTCAGATAGCTAAAGCGAAAAATCGTACTTTGATATGCAAACACTGACTACTCTACACGGAGGTGTCTGGCTTCTGGGAAGTTAGTTACCACCCGCAGAATATCGCCAGCAAGTTCCCCTATGCAGCTAAGTAGAGACTAAGCTTGTATTGCAGCTTCAGGAAATCCTTCTATTAGTTCATTCTTCTTCGCAATCGGGATCCTGTACCGCCTTGTTGGTTTTATGCATCAACCTGAAGCCCAAAGGGCTTGAACTTCGAAACTTCATCTTTGGGTCAGGAAAGACATAGGGAGCTTGAAATGTAGATCTTTTGCAAGAGCACTAGCTTGCCACCCAGTGATCTCGATGGTACAGTCTGTGTTCAAACTCCGTTGGATAGCAGTGTGATATAAGTGTCGAACCGCGAACCTTTTGAATGGTGTTGTTGAACTCAGAGTGAGAGCGGATCTATCTGCTTGATTGTGTTCTGTGCCTCCCCCTCTTCAGAGAGACTCTGCCTATTTATATACACTTTAGCCTGTAATCTGAAGGGCATTGCTGAAACCTCCTGTTCTGTTGCCATGCCGTCGCGGGTCGGTGACAACAACGTTGTTGAGGTAAGTGCCGCAGTTGGTGTGACAGCTAGCGTCTCAGGAGGTTTGCCGCAGTGGCTATCTTGCAACCCTGTCAACAGGTGTAGTATGCGTATACTGTGGCTCTGCATATGTCCCATTTGGACCCTGGTCTGTGCCGTCTTTTCATGCATAGTTCGAACCAGACCAATTTTCTGAATGGTCAGCTGAACATCTAACACTGGTAAAGCTCCGTTGCCTTGAGAACGATGAAGTCCCAAGCGACATAACCCAAAGCCGAAAAGGTTTCCCGCCTCTAGCCGGTGCAGCGCTAAGACGTTCTGAAGCTAATGAGCTGGCAAGGCCCTCAAAAATGACTAGGATTTTCCTCTCCTTGCGAGTCCCGGGGTAACAGGGATTCTTACCCTCTGGCGCTGCTCAATCTGGGAGAGTTCACCTCTTTGCTTGCTCTAGCGTGAAGCGCCAAGAATGCAGGTCGAATGCCACCTGTGAGATCATTTTCCAACTACCTGCTAGGACCAGCGTTTTTCAACTAAATACCACCACTCCCACGGGGAAGGGCCTTCCGGGCCGCAAACATGACCGGATGTGAAGTCATACATGAGAACAATCTATACGTCCAATGAAATAACCGAAGTAGCCACGCTGTCCAACTCGCTGTCCTGGGCCAATCCGTCCGCAACACAAAGCATATATAGATATAACTCTTTCATATATCCGAGTTAAATCTTCTTAGGCCCAGAACTCCTTACCTCCCCCTTCACCATTCAGATTGTATCCAATAAACTCACTATGCGGTTCATTTTCTACTTGGTAGTTGGGTTGGCAACTACAGTGTTCTCAGTATTCGCCGCTCCGTAAGCATTCGTTTAGACCACTTCAAGCAGTGTTTTCGAAAGCGCTTACAGGTTAAACAGGAAACCCTGCCATAAGATCAGGCGTGGAGCACAAGACCTTGACGATCAGCTCTCTGAACGAGACGACGAGGTTACTTTTTGTGGAACTGCATGTGGATGGGCTAAGAGAGACGATGGCGAATTTGAAGCGATTCCATGCTAGAAGATCTTGGAATTGTAAGGTTTATCAGATTCGTACCCTGTATACATTGCCCTGCCACTTGTCCATACTGAAAACGAGGCTGACGTGTCTTTCAGAAGCTTCAACTTTCGGTTAGCTTCGAGTTGTCCCAAGGCATAGCACGAGCGTGCTTCCAAATTATCTGCTCGAGGAGACGTTTGCATATCTTGTTTTACGCCCCTTCTTTAACAAATGAATTTTGGCAGTTCTCTTACTGGCGGCTGCGACTGAATTGACAAGACAAAGGATCTCGCGTCGGGTGGGTAAAAGCAACCCATCTGGTGTTGTACTAGCAGCAACGGTGGATGAGTAACCAATCTTTGGAGTCGACTCCAGTCACAGCATCGCAATCCACTGAAACGTAAATTTTGAGTACACGCTCTTCTTAGTTCACACCACAATAACAAGTCTCGATGTACGCTCCCATATTTCGAAAGAGTTAATTGCACTATCTTTTGCATTCTGGCCGGCTGTAGGATAGTGCCGGACGTCTTTCAGCATACATAGTGTCCTCCCGCGATCGCAGCCTAAAGGCGTTGATTGATGGAAGCTGCTAGACGGAGTATCAAAATCTAGGAAGTCGGCAACTTGGAAGTTGCGACATTAACCCCGGCTCCAACTGGCCGCTAACGCAATAATGGGAAAGGCTGGGCTTTGAATTCGAACTCGTGACACTTGGCCAGAGTCTGGATTTCACACCGAAATCTCCAAGTAAAGTCCACCGTCTACATCGGCTGATGCTGAGAACCAAGATTTCCGCAAGACTATGCGGGTTGAAGCGTCAGTTTTCTTATTGACCCTCAGAGGGTAAATTTCACGCGCCGTGCACTTCTCTCCATCATGCATTGAGACTCTGGCACAAAATCACTACGTGTATTAATAACCGAACATAACTTGAACGTGTTTATCACCAGCCCCGCAGAGCCGGCAATTTAAAGCTCTGTAATTTGCAAACCAATTCTTTCGTACAAGGCCCTAAGTGTCGCCTCTTCTTCAATGGTTGAAATGCCTGTGTTAGTGTAGGAAGCCTCCCGAAGGTCTACAATTCGCTCAAGGAGATAGTCGTACGACTCTCCTTCTGAGCATCGGGAGCAAAGGCATTGGAATCCAAATAAGCCCCTTAGGCTTCGTTGCCGTTTTGCGAATGGTTGAAAATGTACCCCGGTTAAGTTCAAGAGCGATAAGTCTTTAGTAATGTTAGTGTCGTTGCTGGGACTTTGAGACTCAGATGTCAGAACATACACGAAATAGTAATCTCCTCCCCGGATGTGATGCCGCGCACTGCCTCGACTGTTACAGCGAAATCGTCGTCGTTGATACGAATTCGCGAACTATAGATGTCAGGTTTTTGGTTTCTGAGCAGCGTTGTGATTAGAAACACTCACTTTGGAGCACAGTCGTGGTTGAGAAGTGATATTTCAGGATACAAAAGAGAGTGGTCGTAACTGTGGAAACGCGAAGAGAATCCAGCATTGTTGAACAGAATACCTGTCAGGTAGAGAAATGGGTCTTTGGAACGACTAGTCAGATGGTAAAGCAGTTTCTGACTTGAATGAGGAAGTCTGGATACAGCGATCCTCAATAACTCTTCTTGCTCTTGCCATGACAATGCGTCCAGAACGTCGTCGTTACAAACCAGAATGGGGTATTCAAAAGCAATCACGTCTCCGCGTTTAATGTTGTGGCTTGCGAATAGGCCGTTTCCTCTATCGAATGTTATCGATCGAAAATAGGCTCCGTGGATATTCTGACGCCTACTTTTCGAGGATCTTGTAGTCAATTTTAAGTCTAATGCGACTTCTCGAGTAGTGATGACTGATAAACCCCGTCTGCCGGCAAAATCAGTATTTGTGTGGATGCATATATCGTCGCCCACAGTTGGTACAAAGATTGGGCATGTCGATTCAGGCAAGTTCGTTGGGTAAAGTCCGGGTTGAGTAGAAGTATACAATGCTCTCGGACTTGTGGCATCGTCTTGTCTCAATTTCGTGAAGAAAGTGTATCCGTTCGTCGAACAACATGGAGACAGGAATAATAATGCAGTTTTTCGCCAGCATTGACCGGGCGAACTTTCCCCCAGAACGGGGAGAACAGTTGCCAGAAGACACCCAAAAATATATAGTCGCATATTATTGGAGATTGCATACTTCACGGAATATAACATGCCTTGCATCTTGATTTTGTGAAGTCTTTCTTTGGTAGCTTGAATCCAGAGGCAAAATGACAAGCGAATCTCCCTAGACAATTGGAGTAGTGTTATGGATGAGATCCTCAGAAATAAATGGAGGCAGCTGACGACTGAACTAGCCCGATTAGGCAATTCCTGACACCTCTTGGCCCTGCGGCACCGGGCAAATATTCAAGTCTCTTCCATCACAACTTCCCTTCCTTCTCAATCGATCAATTCAGCCAATCCGTTATGCCCCCCTGATTGGTCCAACACTGCCATACGGAGGTAATGAGATGGCGACAATCCAGCAGCGGAGACCGCGTTGCTCTATATTTTGTTAACCTAATACGATGCTAATGTGGCTGTAGATTCGATGGAATCTTGAAAATGACAGGTCCTCGCTCAGCCTTTGGCCGCGGATATCGGTCAGATAAATGTTTATTGAGTTGTAATTGAAGGGGAAAAACATCAGCCGTATCTTGCGGTACGAAATCCTTCTCAAACTCAATCCACTTATTGCCGCAGGGTTGATTCTGTTACGGCATGAGCGCTTGAATCGATGAAGTTGTAGCACGGAGTGCCACGATGAAATTGACTACTCAGGTGCAATAAGGAGCAATAATCCAACTCATGCAGACGGACTTCTAAAGCTGTAGAACATCACCGCGTTCCATGGAGCGCATGTATTGACAGCAGAACGCCACTGTGGCAAAGCATCCACCAATCCTTCAACCGAGGCCTCTCCGTAAAAGCCTCGGTGCCACCGCTGGTCGATAACGAGGCTTAGACAGATCTGGCCAGGTCCAGACCTGTTCAGCAGACGGATTGTCGCCACAGTGTAAATAGTATATAGACAGGCAGAGTCTCTCTGAATAGCTAGGAGGAGGAGGACAATCAAGCAGATAGATCCACTCTCACACTGTTTACAACAGCATGTCTCTAAACAGATGGTTTGAGAACTACAATTCTTTCCTTGATTCTTCCAGGAAAATTCAACCATCATTTACCGCCTTCGTTTGTTGCCTTTTGGACCGTCTTTTCAAATCTGGTCATCCACGCAGAAATTGGTCGGAGTGGTCTCTCCTCACCCCTTGGGCTCGGTTGTTAGGGCATCAGGTTCAGGTTTGTTGGGCTTAAGACATCGCCCCTCGAAGACCTAGTTCCCGCTATTAATGATAGGAGCTGGAAACGCAGATAGAAGGACAGCTTCAGATCATACAAACCAAAAGGACTGGTGGTACATTGGCTCTTCTCATGCCGAAAAGCCGAGATGTCAATCGCTTTAACCACACTAGCTTATTTACGCTCCAGTGGGGCCCCGGTGAAACAAGCCTTAGCAGTCAAGTACGAGGTACAAATGTACTTGTTATTACAACCACAAAGGGCTCCATCGCCTTGGCGGGCGGAATGCAAACTTAAACCTTATTTTGGTTGCATCAGAATACGGAGGATAGTGTGTAGTCGGCGTACTCGGCATAGGCAGATCACAGTCGTGCCTCGTCTTGTGTTTCCAGCGATCCTATCGTCCAGTGTCGGCGCCTAAAGTTTCTGGGTCGATCTTTGCGGCACTCACCGAGCATCGCGGTATCTTGCTGCCAACGTTCAAAGCAGTGTACCGAGTAGATGCCGTAGAATCTTGGTCAGACGTGTCACGCTCCGCTCCGCTTCAAACACGGCAAGGGCTCGTCGCAAGATATATGAGTTTGGTCCTGGAGCTGGCTCGCTGGGCAAAAGTACGAATCAACCCCGCACTGCTTGCTCCAACATTCCAAGTTTTCCACGCTCCCAGTGCCATGTTCGTGATAATGATGGACCGAAGGTGGGGGGCACCATGGGGAACCCTAATGCAACACTGATGTTGAGTTCGGTCTTCGCCATATTGTAGTCCCTTTGTGCCTCCACACGGACACTCGTTTTAAGCAACTTTGGCTTAATCTTTAATTTCCTAACGGAGGCTTAAAAATGGCTATACATAGAGTAAGCCCCACGAAAGAGCCGCTCAAAGATATGGAGAGACACTTTCGAACGCCCCTGTTCGGTGATTGAAGGGCCTGTTGTATGCTCTCTTCGAAAGGCACAATACCCCATGGGATTGTGGAATACCTGCCTCGCTTACACCATGAATGCAGACTGCCTTACGGGGAAGAGGTGACTGCATGTTACGTTACGCTCTCTGGTGGTATTTCCAGACGAGCCAGATCATCCAATTCACTTCCTATTGGAGCATAGAGCGTCATAATGCCCCAAACACCGCTCAACGAAAGGGAACTCCCTGTGGGCAGTTCGGTCTCAGTGGCAGCGAGCAGACGGATAGAATTTTGAGCCCTGCTGTGGTGGTATGCCACCCGGGAGAGCTCTGACCGTGAGGCATTACGTGCCACCACCGGAATTTGGATCAATTAGGAGAAAGGCACACCGGCCTGGTTGCATGCAAGTTAAGTAGCAAAGATGGACGACCCAACTCCCCTTTTCACTTCTTCATTTGCTTTCTATTACCTTCCCATTTGCACGCTGACCGGGCGAGCATTCCAACAATGTCGTCAGATAGCGACAAGTCAAAGGGTGAGTTGCACCAGGGCGGTCAGAGCGATATTCATCACTCTGAGATCTTGATCGAGGCCAAGAGCGAGTTGCAAAAAGGCGATAAAGCCGAGCTTGATCATTCCGAGGTCTTGGTCAACCCCGATCTCATGAGCGATGCCGTCGATGGCGAGGTCCGCGAACATGGAATGGGCATGTGGGCGGCGGTGAAGCAACACCCTTGGGCTTGCTTGTATGCATTTGTCATGTGCTTCACCATTGTGAGTCCATTTCCTGGATCTTTAAGCGCAGAATATCTCCCATTTGGGGTAGAATAACGGCTGATACCTATCAGGTCATGGAAGCGTTCGACATGTTTCTGAACGGCAACTTTGTGGCGCTCCCCGTTTTCCAGAGAAAATACGGCGTCTTGCTGAAGGGAGGTGATTATGCGATACCCACTCGATGGCAGAGTGCCCTCTTCCAATCTGGTCAATGTGGTGCTTTTGTCGGCGTATTCTTGGCTGGACCTGTCACCAACCGTCTCGGCTACCGCTGGACTACCATCTTGGCCCTGATTCTTATGAATGCCACGATTTTCATTTCGTTCTTTGTAAGTAGCACGAACTCGTTGCCGAGCTTATCGCCTGACCACGTCCACTTGATTAGGCCGACTCACTCACAGTACTTACAGTCGGACAAGCGTTGGAAGGCGTCCCTTGGGGATTCTTCATCGCGAACTCCCCCGCCTACGCCAGCGAGATTGTTCCCCTCGTCCTTCGAGGTGCATGCACGGCCAGTCTGCAAATGGCCTGGTCTGTCGGTCAAATCATTGTCGCCGCCGCTACCTATGGCTACAATAAGCGCAACGACCAGTGGGCCTGGCGAGTGCCTCTCGCCTTGCAATGGATCTTCCCCGTGAGTCCCTCTCTTTAGATCTAGGACCAAACTGACTTGTCCAGACCCCCCTCTTGATCCTCATCTTCCTCGGCCCCGAATCTCCGTGGTGGCTTGTTCGTCGTGGACGCAGACAGGAAGCACTTCGTTCCATCAAGCGCCTCGGTACTAAATCCACAGAGCATGCTGAACAGACACTTGCGATGATGGAACGAACTGTCGAGATCGAATTGCGCCAGGGCGGGACTCCTACCCTCCTCGACCTTTTCAAGGGCACCGATTTGAGACGAACAACCATCATCTGCTTGATGTATGCGTCACAGAATTTTGCAGGTAATCTGATTGCCAACCAGGCAACTTTCTTCTTCGAACGTGAGCAACTCTCCTCTCTGACAGCTTTCAAGCATGGATGGCTGACTCCCTTGTTTAGAAGCCGGGATCTCGACTGACCGTGCTTTTGAGCTCAATCTGATCAATTCGTGTCTTCAATTCTGTGCCAACGCGGGCTCTTGGTTTCTTACCGCCTGGTTCGGTCGCCGAACCATCTACCTCTGGGGCACAGCCACCAACATCACTCTGCTCTTTGTTCTCGGCATTTGCGCCTCGATACCACAGAACAGTGCAACCAACTACGCCCAGGCAGTTCTAGGCATCCTCATCTCCTTCGTTTTTGCCGGCTGCATGGGTCCGATCTCGTACACCATCATCGCCGAGACGTCCTCCGTCCGTCTTCGCGCTTTGAGCACTGGAGTCGGCCGCGCCGCCTACTACGTCGCGGAAATTCCCATGATCTATCTAGCCTCAAAGATGCTCAACCCGACAGGATGGAACCTTGCAGGCAAGTGCGGCTACGTCTGGGGAGGCACCGCTTGTGTCTGCTGGGTTACGGCCTTCTTCTTTCTTCCTGAGCTCAAACATCGTTCTTACCGTGAGAGCGACATCTTGTTCAATCGCAAGATTCCCGCCAGGAAGTTTAAGTCGACCGTCATTGACGTCAAAGACAACGAGTAAAGCGCGACGATCGGTGGGAAGGAACGGAACACGTTGTGAATCTCGTTGCGTAATGACTGAGAAGATGGACTGTATTTCGGTTCGATGGAGGCGGGAGATATTCAGAGAACTGTTGGTGGACCAGGAGGCAGCAGCATAGGGTGACATCTCTATACTTCCTAAAGGGTGTGAATTAAGAGTGTCCGGGAACACGACGCCTTGCATCGAATCCAACTTGGAGCGAAAGCTTGATTAAGTACAAGGTGCTTACGTCCTATCGTCTCAATAGAAGTCTCGAGACTGAGGAGCACTGCTCAGCTCCATTTTGGACGAATACTCCGTCCACAGCAAAAAGTCCTCCAGCCCAGCTGCTTGCAGCCTTCCGCTCTGAGCGCGAAGTCCAGAATAGCTGAAGGTCAATGTTCCGCCTTTTGCACTTGCACA